CCCTTTAATTGAAAATTTATGGAATTTCCACTTAAAGTCTAGAAACTTGCAGCACTATTTCAGGAATCTCCAAAGTTTGGAAGTCAGTCTGGTAGAGAAAAGGAAGTAAGAAAGTAAAGAAGGAAGAAAAGCAGCATTCCTCCCTATCAAGCATTCCCCTGAAGGGAGGTGTTGTTTTAATTGGCAGCAAATAAGGAAACCAAAACATGAGAGGACAAGTGAGTTGTTAAAATCACTCAGGAGTACGTGCAGAGCCACCTCTGAACGTGGGATCGGTGCTCCTCCCGACCCCACACGGCTGGGCTCGTGTACAAGTCAACTCGTGACAGAACTACGGGCATCCTGGGACACAGACGCCACAGAAGAATGTACACATCACACGAGTAGAGTCACACATGCATGCTCAATAAGTATTAGCTATTACCATTAGCTTAATATATTGATTAGTGAGTAAACAAACTCTAATTCCCAATTACTTCACCCCATTGTAATAGTGGCTACTATTATTTTTTAAATATATTTGTATTGATTTCAAAGAGGAAAGGAGAGGGAGGGCGAGATAGAAACATTAATGACGATAGAGAATCGATGATGAGGGAGAATCACTGATCGGCTATCTCCTGCACACCCCACACTGGGGAGCGAGCCCGCAACCTGGACATGTGCCCTGACCAGGAATGGAACCATGACCTCCTGGTTCATAGGTGGAACCTCGACCACTGAGCTCCATGCCGCCTGGGCATGGCTACTGTTATTTTACATTTACTCTGCGTCAGCACAGGCTGCTATTTATTTTGTGTTTACCCCTGTGTCAGGCACCGTGGTAAGGGCTTTCAGTGACTTATCCCACAATATTCCCACAATATTTCTCTGAGGTAAAACTTATTATCCCCGCTTTACAAAGGAAGGAACTGCGGCTCAGAAGGAGGAAAACTTGACCAAAGTACAAAACCAACATGTCCCACAGTCTGAGCTCCTAATCATCCCATTTTCCTGACTCCGCATGGAACGTTATGATCCATAAACCAGAGCAGATGCGTAGTTTAAAAAGGAGGGGGAGGGTACACTTCTGCATATACGGAGCTCCCACGGTGGAGTTCCTCAGGGGAGGACCTTAAGTGATGGAAAGAGAAGAGTGAGAGACTTCCAAGGGCCGGGCCCCCACAGCAGGGGCGCGGGCTGTTATAATGATCACAGTGTGGGGCCTGAGCACCTCTGGGCCCTCTGGTGCACTGCAAAGGCAACACGAGCTGGGGAGACCCGCAGCCCATGAAATCAGAGATGGACAGGGACTTGTCAAGTCTGAAGGCAGGAAGCAGAATGATTCCAAAAGCATGATGCCCTCACGGAAGTTTAAGATCCAAGTAAAAAGTGAACCCTTAGTCTCAAAGAAATGAAGTCTGAGTCCCCTTGGCCAGACAGTTCCAAACAGATAGCCTTAAAAGGACACCAAGTTCCCAGAGAGGCCGCCTGGAAGTGAGACATGCTTCCTGCCATTCGGGAAGGAGGCGGGAGGGAAGGACTGGTGAAAGGCGCTCAGGGTGTCGGTGACAGAGGGGCCACCTATACCTGTCCCACAGTCTGGATGTCAACCACAAACACGCCTACCTTTCCCAGCGAAACCTGAGCCAAGAGAACAGGAAGGACATTCCCAAATGGGTGGGGTGCAGGTTAGCCTTGCAGGGCTACTGGGGCACCCCTATGGTTTGCTGGATCAGCACGATGCAGTAGCCACCGCCAGCCGGCCGGGACAGGGGAACTGGGCCAAGACAAGGGAACTGGGCCGGGCGAGCTGTGGCAGCAGCTGCACTGTCATGGCAAGAACGGGGAACTGGAAAAGCAGTAGCAGAGAAAGGACAGAGAGACTCACAGAGGGGTCTCCGACAGGAGGTGTCCTTCGAGCAGGGGGACAGGCTGAAGCACAGAGGAGGAGATGCGGTCAATGCCGCTTGCTCTCCGGCCCAACGTGCCGTCATCACGCCAGAGAAGGATAGGATGCAGGGAGTTCAGTGCAGCTGTTCCTCTGCTTCAAAAGTGAGCTGAGGCCTTTGGCTAAGATATATAGATTATATATGCTAAAAAATGTAGCGTGCCATGACATTTAAATTTATTAACTGACATACATTGTGTTGTACCATCTGCTACTCTGTACTAAGCTTCCTGTAATGAAAGATGCACGAACCCTAGAGAATAAGCATTAGGAAAAATAGATTGATTTTATATAATTGAACATAACTGTGCATGAATGTCTTAGCGTAATATTACTCAACAGCTGTGCAAATAATGGAAGGTTCTCTCACCACAGACCATATGCTGGCAGCGAAACATGAAGGTAGCAGGTCAACCCACCGGTGAACCCACACCTCCCTGGCATGATATAATGGCTTGCATTAGAAAAGAGTGCAGGTTAAAGGCAGAAATAGAAGCAGAGTGCCACAGCACACAGGCAAAGGGATGACGGTCCCCCACAGAGCCCTGCACAAAAGCGCAGTGCCCTTGCCTTTGGTCAGTGATGCTCATGTCCCCTGTGCTCTTCCCAAGGTCAGCACTTGCTGCAGGGCCTGTCTTCCCTTTCTAGGGCTTTTCTGATGGTTTATGCATTCTTCTTTTACAACCACATATTGACTAACCACAAGTGGACACATCGTCTCTTGTTTTACATTCTGTTTTGAAATAATATGGCAAGTGAACTCAAGAACCGGGATTCTAAGTCCCTAAAATGAATTTGTTACATATCATTAAACTTTTTCAAGTACCTTCACATAAATCATAAACTTTCCCCATTATCTGAATAGAACTTATTATGGCAATTTTAGAGATGGGAAAACGGAGGCTTGGTGTTTCAATCCATCAACAAGTGTCCACTAAGTACCTAGGATGGGCCAAGTTCACACAAAGCATTTGCCTGAAGTTGTGCAAATACATAACGGCAAAACTAAAGATTAGAACATAAACAGTTCACTATTTACATCGCTTCCTATACTGGCTCACTGCTAAACAACTTTGGACAAGCTACTTTATATGTCTATGACTCATGTTCAACATTTATGAAGGAGGAGCAAAAAGTCAACTAATTGGAACGTATCTACTCCTACTCCTTTGATTATATATAAAAACTTTTAACATCTGATGAAAATAAGTCCAGTCCTAGTAGGTTTTGGTCAGTGGTTAGAGCATCGGTCTGAGAACTGAGAGTCTCGGATTCAATTCCAGTCAAGGACACATACCTTGGTTGCAAGCTCAATCCCCAGGCCTGGTTGGGGTGCCTGTAGGAGGCAAGCAGTCCATGTGTCTCTCTCACATTGATGTTTCTCTCTCTGTCTCTCCACCTCCCGTTCATTCTCTCTAAAATAAAAAGTCATTAGAAAAATTTCCTTGGATGAGGATTTAAAAAAAGAAAAGAAGTCCATAAACATCAAGTCAAATGTATTCCATTTTGGCCCTTAAATCTATTAATTATATTCCACTCTTCCCTTTAAAGCTTATAACTTTTTTTTTCCAAAATGGTTACTTGGCTATAGTGGCTATTTCAAGAGATTTTTTTTTTTCTGATGTATTATGCTAAGAAGTGCCTTACCTGCAGGCTACTATTGTAAATTGCCCCAACATCCACTATATTATACATTTCACATTGTTCTGCCTACAATATTAAAGATTGGTCTCCTGGAAAATATTATAAGGGAATTTAACTATACATAAATATTAATAGGTGCAATAAAATAAGAACAGCATAAAGGCATTCAGTACTAAAAGTTAAATGTGCTGGAGCCTAAGGAGAATCTTTACTCTTTCTCGGTTTGTAAAGGACTTTAAATTCACAGAAGATGATGCAATTATAAAAATGAAAAGAACAAAATAACAAAAAATGTAATATATTGTAATATGTTTACAATATATTAAGAGGAGAAGTTAGTGGCTTAGAAAGCCCCAAGATGACAAAGACAAGTACAATATTCTAGAATAGAAACAAATCGTCACAATTGCTCAAATGCCATTCTCTCCCATAGAGTAATGACTTTTTTACTAACAGACAGATCTCAAACTATTCTACAGTCGAGAGAAGGTTATGTGAAAGGGTCACTGACGCCAATAAATACCCAACGTGGAGCAGACATTTGGTCTCAGATCCCCGGGTGCAAGGATTTCAGCACAGGTGGTAAGCACACTCACCACGGTATGCTCAAGCTGCAGCATCTGCAGAATCAGAACGGAAAGATTGTCAGCGTAAATGTCTGTTCTTTTTGGGTGGGGAAGTAGTTATTTTAAGATCGAGTGAGAATCATTTAGCTTAATCCCAATTTACTTGAAAAACTGAAGATTAATCCCATCTGTCAAGTGGTCTGATTAGTTAGTTTCATTTCTAAATACTTTCAAAAGGATCTAGAGTCAGTTTGGTGAGGGATTATGGTAAAAATATAACTGAGTTTGAAAGAGAGATTTCATAATCCCTTGATCACTCTGATCTTTAGTTTTCTTTTCATGAATTCAGGAAGCAGAAGATGGGGTTGTATCTCTACAGCGATTCTACAATTATCTGGAAACCGTGAAAGTTCAGACAGAATGTAACCCTTCCAAACTAATTTCCACATCTACTTGAAAATGAATAAATTGGTTTAAAAAGGGAAATATCAACTTCCTTGCCTGGTCAGTTCTAGAGAGTCTCTCCTCTAGGAGCAAATTACAAAGCCTGTCAAGTCAACTTTCAGAAATAAGCAGCTCCACCACTACTGCAGGACCCAAACCACAGAAATGAGCCCATGTAGTAGTGTCCCAATTGTCCTCCCTCATTCCATTATCGAAACTTCCTGCAATTCACCCTTTACCTACAGGATAGAGCAAAAGTAGGTTTGCGGTTGTGAGTATGTGAAATACAGAGTTTATTCTTGTATTGATATTTATCCATAATTATATTGTTTTCCATATAAACAACCGTAAACCTACTTTTGCCCTACCCTGTGGTGCTAGAATGATCCTGGTTGTAACATACTTTCGGAGGTGGCTGTCCACCCACGACCCTCCTTGTCTTCATGGTACTCTGATGGCAGTGGAGTGGATACATGATCCAAGCTGGGTCAATGAGATTCTGTATCCCTAGAATCTGGAACTAAGAGTCACAGCCCCAAGTCACTCTCTGTGGGTCTAGATATAAGATCTATGCATTTAGAAGCTATAAAAACGATTGTCTTCCACCGTGTGCACAAGAAGTGAAAAAAGTCAACCTACGAGGAGGATGTACAGCACATGCTCAGAGAGAAATAGAGACAAAGTCCTACTGAGAGAGAGAAGGGGGAGAGAAATAGAAAAAGAGGGAGGGAGAAAGGAAGAGAAAAACAGAAATAGACAGGCAAACCTAGAACAGACCATCCATCTTGGCTCCTGATGACTTGCCAACTGCTGAGTCCAGGCATGGTTTGGGGCCTAGAGTTCCATAAGATACCTCCATATCCTTATAATAAATTACCTTTCCTTCCTCA